CTCTAACACTTCGTAGGGGCTGGTCTTCTGCTTGAGAGCCAGCCCAGCAGTTTCTGCTCAATAAACTGTCTGTCTGTCTTGGCCTGAACTGGGTTCTGACCTTCCTCAGTGACCATACACAACTTCAATAATAAAAAATAATAATAATAATAATATTTAAGTATTATATTTTATTAAAACAACCTGAGTAACTGAATTTATCCTGAAGTAATAAATTTACTTTTCACTACGACAGTTACAAAATATCAACCACCACCAAACACAACTATTATATTTTCACATAGAACGTGCTTATATAAATAATAAGTACAGTGCGCACAGGAAACTAGCGCTCAGAGGAGTGCTGGATTTGTTAGAAACCATACAGACTGCACGTAAACTGCATAAAATGCAGTCCTTTAGGCATTCAAGTTTCTTTCTTCCCTGTATGAATAGTCCTTCATCACCACAGTGAGAACACATAAAACTCTGCCCTGCCTTTTTAATCAGACCCTTAGTATTGCTTCATTCATGACAGAGGCCAAGGAACATCCCCAGATTCAATCTCCTTCCAAGAGGAAGAGAGCGTTCCAAGCAGCCACTCAGCCCTTCTACCCTCTTCATGACCAACAGTTTTACCACGGGAGGGCGGGCGGCCAGCATCTCCCTGCAACGGCTGTTCTGCCTTCGCTCTTGAACAGGGTCATTTTCAAATAGATGACGGGTCGCTGCCACATGCATGCAATCATCTTCTTTTCTCGCAGTTTTTTATTTCTATATTCTTGACAGGATATCACACCTGTGAGAAGACATCTCTTCCATCTATTCCTCGTGCTTTTCTTATTTGTCAGCCACTAGCGAACTTCTTCCAGTTTCTTTGAAACACAAATGAGAAAACGCTCATGAGCTGGGTCTTGGAAAAGAATCAGCAATTAGGCAGCAGGAGTTGAGAAAAGTGGTTCTGAGCTGCAGAGACAGCGGGCCACCTGGGCCATGGGAACGTGAAGGCATTGCCCACCTTTCTAGGGAAATTATGGGTAGCAGGTGGTTCAGGGAGATTAGCAAGGCACATGGTATCTATACTAATGTTCATCAACTTGGCAACACCCGTAGATGAAATTCTCTGTTCATAGTATCTGGTGGTTTACAGACACCAGGTATATTACTAACATACAGAAAAGAAAAATTATTTCTCTTACAAATAGACAAGAGATCATCTAGGAGGTTGAGGATAAAATAAAATAAATGATTCACCAAACTGATTTTTGAAAACTGGCTTGCAAAAGCACCCTGGCTCTGCACCAAGAGAAAGCGAGCCGGAACCCACTAGCTGGCTCGTTCTACACTTCTAGCAAAACAGCACACAACATTAATTCTCTTTACATAAAGACAAATGCGAGAAGGTCAGCAATACATCATAACCAGAATGTACTTAATAAGATGATGTTGAACAATGAAACTTTTAGAGGAAGTCAAGCACTGGAAGATAGCTTCACAGTAGCATTTATATGCTAATGTGGGAGTAGACGATTTCACTGGAGGGTGGGAAAGGGGTCCATGGTTCATTTTGCTATATTCCAACTATCACAGGAAAAAACATTCTTATCTCATTAGCCATAAGATGCCTTCAAGGAAGAAATAAAACCAACATGAAGCACTGTACTTTCCCACTCTCCTCAAATTGATTCTGACTTAGTGGTAGTGTGGTGGGCTGAGCACTGGGCTGTGAACTGGTCAGTGCTCCAATCCTGCTGGCCGCTCTCTGCTTTGATACAGCTTTGGAAATCCTCCAGGCGGTTCTCCTCTGTCACTGAGGGCAGGAATGGACTCCGCAGCAGAGGGTTAGTCTTTGGATAATGATAGTTTCCCTGTTCTCCAAAATAACTTCCAACAGCACTGTCTCAGGTAAACTCTGATGAGCACAAAATGCCATGTAAGCTTCAAGGGACAATTTCACAACATCCCATCTAAATTTCAAAACCTCTTGAAGCTACACAGTTTTCCTAACTTACCAAAGTTTACAAGGAAGTTAATTTTGGCAAAATAGAGCATTTGATAGCACATGAAGTCTAGATTTCCTTCTTGACTTGACAGACACAGTGACTGGGGACTGGCTCAGTATCACCAACCCAGCCCAGGAATTTAACAGCATTCCTGCAAAAGTGCCTCATCCCCAAATCCTGGCTTTCTCCATAATATTATCTGGTAAGAAATGGGGTCTAGTCCAAAATCTCTACATTGTGCGGCTTATGAAACGGCTTCGTGTTACAAAGGCGAAAGCAAGGCCACCAGCTCATTCACTTGCGAGTGTCCACTATAACCTGCCTGCAGCAGCAGCTTTGTAAAATACTGGGGGAACCTCCTGCCGAGTCATTCCTCACAGAGGAACATTTCTCATTTCCTGGGGCCGTGTGCTGAGTTTCCACTCGGAGTGCTGTAATTTCCACTTGTGAATTCTGGAAGGAGTTTGGGGAATGGAAGAGGAAGAAGTCAAAAGACTGTGAAAGGCACAGCGTTTCTCAGGGTACTGTAATGAGATCTGCAGAAAAGGTATCGATCCATGCCCTTTGGTGTTATTTCCAATATATACTATTGTAATGTTATTTCCCTAAGACAGTTTCGCGTATTCAGTTAGGGGCCCGCAGCAACAGGGCAAGTAACAAACTAGATTTTGCAAGTATTTTTTAGTATAGGATTTTGCTGAAATTGAGACACAAGGCAAAAAAAAAAAAGAGGGGAAAAGTCAAAATGAAACTTTTCCTTAGCCTGCCTCTCTGGATCAGAACACGAGCAATGAAAGAACATCTGAGGTGGGGAAGGAACTAGTAATCAAAAACACACACTTCCACACACCATCACTGCAGGGTGCTGCCGAGTCCCACCTGAAGCGTAGTGAGTGACTCTGGGCACAACAGAAGGACATACTGCCTGGTCACTTGCCATCCTCACTGCCACATTCCAGCTCATTGCTGCAGCCACTTTGTCAACCCTTCCTACTGACGATCTTTCTTCTTCAAACTCACCTTCTGCTTACCAAGTACAACGTTCCCTTCACCAAGGTGGCTGTTGTCATTAAGAGTCATCAAGTGTGACTCCTGGCAGCCCTATGAACATTGGACCTGAGCCCTGTCCTGTTCGGCGCCAACCTCATCAACCTCCCGAGCCCACTATTACCGTCACTTTGTCAATCCAGCTCGTTGCGGGTCTTTCTTTCCTTCACTGACCCTCCACCTCTCTAGGCGTGGTACCCTTCTCCAAAGACTAGCTCTTCCTAACAACAGGCCCCGGGCATGTGAGACAAAGTTTCACCGTCCTTGCCCCCAGGGAGCATCCTGTCTGTCCCTCTCCGCTGACGGCAAGCTGAATTCTTGCGTCCTCCCTTCTGAGGAGCGTTCGGGCTGCAGCTCTGCCGTGACGGCATCGTTCGTTCTGCTGACAGCCCGGCGTACAGTCACTAGTCTTCACCAGGACCACACTGGGAGCCACCGACAAGTCTTAGGTCCTTCTTATTCATTACGGAACTTCCGCTTACGTAAGACGCAACTGGAAACACCATGGCTTCAGTCAGCTGCACTTTATTCCTCAGACAGACACTTTGGCTTTTGAATATTTTCAAGAGGTATTCTGTAGCAGATTATACCACAGCAAGAAGGCATTCGTTCTCCTGTCTATTACTTCCACAGGCAACAATTAAGAATGAAAGCTTCAATCTTTTCTATATATCACGATGCTATTTAACAGTACTTTTTTGAAGATTTGTGTTGTCTTTCTTTTTACTTGCTTGCGCGCGCGCGCACACACACACACACACACACACACGCGCGCGGAGCACTCGAGAGCTTAGTTTCTGCTGCCAATTCAGAGGTGCACTGCTTGAATCCACCAGCTGCTCTGCAGGAGAACAGAGATGGGCAGCATCACCTCCCGTGCAATTTACCGTCTCTGAAAACCTGCTGGAGGGTCAGCTATCAGTTAATTCTGTCTTGACGATTCACAACATATACTACAACAACATAAGGTAAGGAGCTGCCCTGCCAACCCAAAGGCATGTGGTTCTAATCCAGCAGCTCCTCCTCAGGAAAAAGACGGGCAACCTCTTCTCATGCAAAGTGAAAATCCACCTGCAGGACAACTCTGAGTTGGTTCCAGTTCAAAGGCACATAACAACAGCAACATAGAACACACATGTGACGGTGTGAAGGTGGGTATCTCTGTCCTCCACTTTCTATGAGTCCCTAATACAAAAGTGGCTTCTGAGTCGCTGAGATGTTAGACGTCATACCTAAGAACGCCAAGGGAGGGTCAGCCACATGTCAGTTCTACTTTGACAACAGTGAGAAAGACATAAAAAACAACTCGACTCAACTCATCATCACGGAGTCAGAAGTAACTCATAGCTGACCCTCCAGCAGGTTTTCAGAGGTTGTAAACCACATAGCAGCAACTAGTGGATTTGAACTGCTTGCCTGGGATTGACAACACAACTATTTTCCCATTAGGCCACCAGAGGTCCCTAATTTAAAAAAAAAATATGTCTAGTCAAAGTGTTTTCACCATCCGAGTTCGTCGGATTCTGCTGTATGGAGCTCTGGTGGTCTAGTGGTAAGATCCTGCGCTGTAATCCCAAAGGCAGACGATTCGAATCTGCCCTGCTGTGCAGGAGAAAACTGGGCGATCTCCTCTCGTTTGATTACAGTCTCTGAAAACCTGCTGAGGGGTCACAAAACTATGAGTTGGCTCCAAGTTGATGGTAAATAACAACAACAGTATCTTAAAAAGCCCTGGTGGCACAGTGGGTAAGCACTTGCCTGTTAACCAAAAGGTCGGTGGGTCCCAGCAGCCTCTCTAAGAGATGTGATAGTCTATAAACAGCTATAGCCCTGGGAACTCCTGTGGGCAGCTCCACTCTGGCCTGCAGGGTCACTAGTAATTAGAATCATAAACGGAGATAACACTGACTTACTTTCCCATTAAAGAAAACAAACAGGAGTTGTGATGAACGTAGACTATAGCACAATTACCTTGGCTGGTTCTCGCCTGTGAGGCCCTCTCCCCTCTGGTAGGCACTGTCGGCAACCTGGGTCGTAGACCGCTTCACAATCTGCTTCAGCTCCTGTTCTAAGCGCTCTGTGATGGCCTTCACTGTCTCGGGAATCTTCCTCAGCTTGGCCAGCGCCTTGATCAGGATGCCCATGAACAGGCTACTGTTCTCCTCGGGGTCCAGCTCCAAATCCTCCTTGATCTCCTGCAGGTTGATCTCCCTCACTGTTAAAGAAGCAAAAGACAGACAGAGAGTTCACTAAGAAATGCAGAAACACAGCAGACGGCTGCACGCTTCAAGGAATCAGAGAAGGCACTTCAATGAAAGCATAAAAATTAGGTTCTATCCAGTACTAATAATCCAAGAAACACAGAAGAGCAGTGACACTCCTGCAATCATCCATCCTAACATATGAATTCGTTCATCTGTCCTAGAGAGGTTGAAACCAAGCTGCTCCCTGGAGGGAAGGATTCTGAAGCTTCATCTCACAAAATGGATATGTGGCCAGGAGGGACCGGTCCTTGGAGAAGGCCATCATGCTTGTAAGGGTGGAGGGACAGCCCAGGAAGGAAGACCTCAGATGAGACGGATTGACTCAGTGACTGGAAAAATGGGCCTGTCTGTTGGGAATGATGAGATGGACTCAGGATAGATGAGGGTACCGAGCTATTGTATACAGTGTCACTATGAGTCACAGGCGACTCAATGGCATACAACAACAACAACAACAATTATGTTAATTACAAAAGGCTGATACATGCTGATATATTACTGGAAATTGTTGTTGTTGTTGTTGTTATGTGCCGTCGAGTCGTTTCCGACTGATAGCGACCCTATGCACAACAGCCCTAAACCCTGCTCTGTCCTGCGCCAACCGCACCGCCTCTGACACACCCATCCCGATTACCCCAGTCACCGAATCAATCCATCTCATAGAGGGTCTTCCTCTCCTG